GGGGAACTATGGGCCCTCTATGTGTGGACTTCAACTCCCAGAATTCCTGAGCCGGCATGGGGAACTATGGCTCCTCTATGACGTGTGGACTTCAACTCCCAGAATTCCTGAGCCGGCATGGGGAACTATGGCTCCTCTATGACGTGTGGACTTCAACTCCCAGAATTCCTGAGCCGGCATGGGGAACTATGGCTCCTCTATGACGTGTGGACTTCAACTCCCAGAATTCCTGAGCTAGCATGGGGAACTATGGCCCCTTTATGACGAGTGGACTTCAACTCCCAGAATTCCTGAGCCGGCATGGGGAACTATGGCTCCTCTATGACGTGTGGACTTCAACTCCCAGAATTCCTGAGCTAGCATGGGGAACTATGGCCCCCCTATGACATGTGGACTTCAACTCCCAGAATTCCTGAGCTAGCATGGGGAACTATGGCCCCTCTATGATGTGTGGACTTCAACTCCCAGAATTCCTGAGCCAGCATGGGGAACTATGGCCCCTTTATGACGAGTGGACTTCAACTCCCAGAATTCCTGAGCCGGCATGGGGAACTATGGCCCCTTTATGACGAGTGGACTTCAACTCCCAGAATTCCTGAGCCGGCATGGGGAACTATGGCCCTTTTATGACTTGTGGGACTTCAACTCCCAGGATTCCTGAGGCAGCCATGCTGGCTCAGGAATTCTGGGAGCTGAAGTCCACAAGTCATAAAGCAGCCATCTTTCCCCACCTCTGCCATAGAGGAATGAGGAGCAAATTCAACCTTAGTGCGACAAGTGGACAAGATTAAAATAGACAGACACAGAGAATATCTAAAGCACCTTCCTAGTGGCTGGTTATTTATAACGTGGAGATGGAAAGGAAAAATTACACTCTTCTCTTCTGAAAGATAAGAGAGAGAAAAATAAAGGCAAAAGGGAAGGGCAGGATTTGACAAGGTCCTCGCAGATCAGAGAGACAGCGAAAGACAACGGATTCCAAAGAAAACTTCATTAAAATTATTATTGCCTTTATTTTGCCATGGCGCACAGTCCATATGGCCCATACACGCACTCTTACACATGCAAGCTTGCCAGCTTCACAAGGCAGCCTCGTTACCCTACGGCTCAGGCCTGCAGTGGCTTTTGGAAAAGGAAAAGCAAATGCAAAACAACAACAACAGAAAATCAAAACAAACAAACAAACAAAAAAACCCACCAAAAACCGAAAAGGAAAAAAAAAGAAAAGGAAAAAAAAAAAAGGAAGTGTTCCAGTCTCTTTTTTTTTTTTGGCAGCAATCACAGCGTGTGTCAAGAAAAGGAGAGTGGGGGGGGGAGGCATAAAACGAGACGGGGAGGAAGGCCTGGGATGCACTTTCCCTCTCCCGCCCCCCCTTCTCCCCCCACGCAGCCTCTCCTCCTTTCAATCCCGCTGGGCCGGCAAGCTGCCTCAACTAGCTGTCCATCTGGGTGATCTTTGTGCAAACTCGTGCTGGCAGGCCCTGGGATGGGGAAGGCCTGGAACGCCGGAGGGAGAGAGCAAAGTCGCTCAACGTCCTGTCCTAAAGCCACCACCGACGTCACAGTCCCGGTGCGGCTGAAGCCAAAGAAGCAGACGGCTCTTTTATTCTCCCCGGCAGAAAAGACGTCTTGCATCTGGCTCCGAATGGCGCACAATTTTTCAAGGCCACGGAGAGGAAAAATGTCCAGCCAGCTCCATGGTCCTAGCGTGGGGCGACACGACTTCACTCGTTGGGCTCAGGGCAACGGTTCCCTCTTGGCCAGGACGGAGGGGACAAGGCCACATTTCTGGTTGGTGATGATGCCAAGGAAAGGCCGCGTGAGATCTCTGAACCTCGGAAGCCCACGGAAGCTGAAAGTCCCCCGTGGCGCCACTGGAGGCAGATATAGGGATGGCGGTTTTGTGTGAACGAAAGGGACGATGTGCAGAGAGAGGCCTCTTATGGTTCCTTCCCCAGTAACCTGTCTTCAATATGAAGACGCTGAATTGTTGGCGCGCCACTTCGAGAACGCCGCAGCAGAAACGAGGAAGGCGACTTCTTGCTGATATGGGAGTGTCTTTTAATCTAGCTAGGGTCATCCTAGTCCGTTCCGCCATAGGTCTGTTGGCAAACCGAGAAGCTCCCCGCCCCGATAACGGGAAGGGGGGGGGAGGAGGATGGAGAAGAACCCCCCTTCCTCAAAATCAGGAAGCTGGGCAGCACCGCAAACTAGAATCCTAGAGAAGTGACCCTCAGGGGAGTGGGATCCGTTCCAAAGGCAGAGTCCTCCGTGGTCAAACCTGGACTGGCAGAGTCTGGTTCATTTGTAACCTCATGTCCTGTATGCTGCTCAAGATCTTCTTTTGATGTCCTGCCAGCGTCACCCCTATCCTGAGCAGGTCCCTAAAAAAAAAGACAATAAGGGGGAAATGAGTTAGTACGGTAGAAGACAAAATATTTCCAGTGGTGGAACTCATTGGCCCCCGGAGATACCAAGAAGACATTTGGTTTCTTCACTAGGAGGAAGTTCTTGAGATGTTTGGTGTTCCAAGCTTACCTCCCCATCATACTTTCAAGTCCTTTGCTGGATTTGTATAATTATACTCAACCAGAGATAGAACTGAAGGGGTTGAATCTGCTCTTCCAAGCCACCAAAAACCTAATCAAGGTTGAATCTATTTGAGGAAATGCTCAACTCTTTACGTTGAGCCAATTAAACTAGCACAGGCATTACGTGATCTTCAGCCTTTGTCTCCTATCTGAAAGCAGTACAGGTAGTCCTCATCTTGGGACGGTAATCGAGCCTGGCAATTATGGTTGTAACTTGTGACGGTTGTGAAGTGGATCATCATGTGACTAACTTAATTTTACTAGGGTTTTAGTGGGATGGTTGTTACATTAACGTGGCAGGTAAAAGCACCTGTTCTTTGCTTTGGATTGGGTTCTGAGGGAAATTGGAAGCAAGCACCAGTTTCTGGTAAAAATGGGGGTCATGTGACTAGACCTCATGGCACAGAAAGGTAGGTTGGTTGATGGGTACCCAAAATGTGGTCCTGGGTTGTTTGTATGGCCACGGAAACTTTGGAACTGAATTGTGAGTAGCTTTTGAGGGGGGTCTGTTGTAACTTCAAACGGTCACTACGTGATGGTTGAAAGTTGAGGACTGACTGTATGCAATGGGACAATTGAGCCCAAAATTTATGTTGCTAAGTGAGACAGTGGTTAAATGGGTTTTGCCCCATTTTACAACCATTCTTACCACCGTTGTTAAGTGAGTCAGCGCAGTTGTTAAGTTAGTAACACGGCTGTTAAGTGACTCTGGCCTCCCCAGTGACTTTGAGAGTCAGAAGGTCGCAAAAGGGGATCACATCACCCCAGGACACCGCAAGCGTCATAAATAGGAGTCAGACGTTGCCGAGCATCTGAATCTCGATTGCGTGACCAGGGAGATGCCGCAACTGCCGTTAAAAGTGTGAAAAACGGTCGCAAGTCATTTTTTTTCAGTGCCGTTGTAACTTTGAACGGTCACTAAACAAATGATTGTAAGTTGGGGACCACCTGTATACGGCGAATACTTTTTCACTGATCTGGCAAAAACTATTGAAAGATTGCAAAGGATTCTGACCTTTAGAAATATTCCACCAAAGAGCTTCCAGAGGTGGTAGGTATTCAGCCGGTTCGGACTGGTTCACTAGAACCGGTTGTGGAAATCACGGGTCCCTGGTCTCTATGCCATCCTATTTAGGTACCTTTTCATGCCTAAAAGCACATGCGCAGAAGGCCAAGCACATATGCAGATGGGGTGCACACAAGCACTCACATTTGCGAACTGGTAGGGAAAGTAAGTGAATACCACCTTTGAGGACTTCCTGAGATTACGAGGGATGAACCAACTTTTCATGACATAAATGGCTGACTGGGATTACACTCCATGCCTGCCCATTTCTGCTTCTCTCTTTNGTTGAGCAAAGGGAAATCTGGTGCCAACTCGCAATTATGAAATCATTCACATTTTGCAATTTCTAGACTACAGTCTTGTATCTATTTACTTGTGAGTAAGCTTAATGGAATGCAACAGTACTGAATTTTATTGAAAGAAATATACACCAAAATGTATTTAAAATATTACAATTTATATCCTATTCTGGTGAGTTTGTAGAGCCAGCCTTTTAGTTTTGAAATGCAAGATGCTAGAGGATACTATTAGCTCCCCCCTTCCAAATAGCCAAATATCCTTGTACCAAAAGTGCTTTTTAATAACTTATCAATTACTTTGCCTCTGATTCTTAAATTAGTGCACTGTGATATAGATCATGAGTTCCTCCTCAGCCAACCTTCCCCACCATAAATACTTCAATAGGTATAACTATGCATACAAATATGCTTGTGGGTGCAAGCACACCCACATGCTCCCCCCCTTCTTGCCATCAAAACTATGATGCTTGCAGTAAAATACAATATGTCATGTTGCAGCTCATTATTTGCCCTTAGTCTGAAATAGCTTTGCAAATATCCATATTCTGAAACCTTTGGCTCTCTCATCTCTCCCCTTGTGTAGTTAAATCCACAAGGCTAATGTTATGATGCTTCTCTATTGCCGAAAATTATATCTGAGTCCCTCCTGGAGAAGGGCGGCATACAAATAAACCAAATACCAAATACAATATCTGAAATACCATGGAGCAGAAAGTGTGAAAGTGTGCTCTTAAAATGATAAAAACAAGTAAATGTAATCTCTATATGGGTTTGTAGTCACATTACTAATAAAAAATAGAAGTTCATTTTAAAATAAAGTCACATTGTTAATATTTAAAAGTGATTAAGTAATAAGATCAATGACTGTAAGTATCCAGACTTCCATGTGATCTATATAGTAGTGAATTCCATATATGTATTACTCATTAATGCTAATATAACAATCAGATACACATCTGGTTTTTTTTAAGTTGGTCATAGGGAGAAAAGCTCCCTATCCCTAAATGTCCACAGTGGAGTAGAAATGAAAAAAGCAACTTAAACAAGCTAAGTAATTACTCCATTGAGTCAAAATAAATTCCTTTTTATTTCATAGACACATCCAAGCCATTTTCTTGGCAACAGTATTCAAATATTTGGGGGATTTTTTTTAAAAAATTACCAATTTAAATGTTAACCTAGTGGTATTTCCTAGTGGTCTCTCATTAAAGCACTGACTACTGTAAGTCTGATCTTGCTTAGCTTTTTGAGATCTATCACGGTTGTCAATTTTTTCTTACTTACGGCACTGGTTTATTCAAAATGATAATCCGTATTTACATAATCTTGGATCTGAAATTGGCAACTCAGTCACGGGACCCAGCATTAAACTCTCTAATTTGGTGGTAGATAAGTTGTCAGAAATGTATTCTCTAATAAGAGATTTTTGCAAATTATTTTCTCCCTTTCCCATGGATTTGGAGAAATAAGGGGGAGGGAGAATCAAGAAAAAATTGAGATAAGTACAAGGAGCCTGTGATTGCAGGGAGGGAGAGTTGATCCCTATAATTATTTCAAACTCAAGCCAACCAGGGGTACAATACTTTCTTTCAAATATGGGATGGTGGGGAGGGGGAGGGGGATAAGTTGTCATTGTCCAAACATTAAACAAATTATGCAGAGATAATATCTCTCATTGCAGATCAAACCATTCTATTACTTTATAGGATTAAGTTCTGACCATGAAGAATGCAAATGATGTTTATCCAAACTAAGCTGTCAGGTGTCCGTCCCCTTGTTTCGGATTGCAGTATCTGCTCCGGGGCCAACCCCAAAATCAAAGCAAAGAGCCAGTCTATCCTACCCCTCTCCTGCTCTTACAGGTTACTTCCCACTCACCCACCCCAACCCTACACTTCGGTTGAGCAAAGGGAAATCTGGTGCCAACTCGCAATTATCCTTGTTCCCTATTCCGCTCATTCCAAGATCTGTTGCTGCTATTGTGAGTTATTAGCCTTCATCCGCTTTATTTAGATTCACATCCCAACCCTCTCTGAGTGGTGCCCAAAGCCACGCCAACCGGGGAGGCATAAGAGTTGTCATTCAGCACCTCTGGAGGTCACCAGATGTGGGAAAACATGCCACTTTCTGTTTGCCTCACGGGCGCTTGAAGATCAGAAAGAAAGAACAAAGCGGAGAAAGGGAAGGGAAGAAGGCAGCAGAGGCAACGGACCTAGGAAAGTTAAAAGAAAGGAGTACAGCTTTCCCTTCTCTCTGAAACGCCCCCCACACAAACATTTCCTTCTGATTGCCCCCCCACAAAAAAAACCCGCGTAATTGTTTGCCTTTTGGAGGTCATTGCCTCTAAGCCACGCGACACCTGCTGGCCCCCTTGATCTTCGGGTTCTCTTATGCCAGGGCCCCGAATAGCTTTGGTCCTCCGTCTTGGAGCAGAAGTCACTCTTGGATCCCCTTCGAGGCTCCCGAGGTTCCTACCGCTCAAAGAAGCAGGAGGGCAGCCGACGTTGGAGTCGCGCAGCTTCCTCTCTTCCTGCCCGCCCAGGGTTACCTCGAGGTCCGCGGGCGGGCTTGAGTGAACGGTAACCCCGTGGCCCCTTAGGAAAGAAGGCTGGCGCGGCCGTCGAGTCCCTTCAGGCGAGGCGAGGCGCTCGCTTTCCCGGGCTAAAACTTACCAGCCATCCCCCAGCACTTCTCCGTGGCGTTCTCAAAGCCCATTTTCCTGCGCTTGGATTAAGCGAGCGGCGGTCAGTGGAGAAAGAGGTCCCCTCGCCCTCCGGGCTCTGCTTCCTGGGATTTGCCTCGGAGCATCTCGTTGCCTTCCACCTTCGTCTTCTCGGAGCCCCACCACCACCTCCACCACACCCCTCCCCCAGGAGTTAGGAGCCGCCGGCTGGTCAAGAAGAAGGGAAGCTCCCGCGCGCAGCTCTCTCCCTGCCTCGCGCCGCCGCCGCCGCCGCCTGCGGTTTCCCAGATGTGCTTCCCGCTCCCACTAAGAAGCTCGCGCGCGCCCTTTTCTCCTCAGCGCGAGAAAACCAGGGAGGCAGCCCAGGCAACATGATGTAATGGCACCTCACCCAATCATTAGGGCGCCGCGAGGGCTACTTTCTGGCTCCTCGAGTAGCCAAAATGGGCCCCCCGGGAGCAAGTCGGGAAGAAAGCGGGGGGGCGGGCGGGACAGCAAGGATCCGGAAGGCTCCCCTTGGCTACCCGCAGCAAAGGGGTCTCCAACTAACGACGAACGTACCAGCCAAGACCCGCGACACCCCCTCCCCTTCCCCGCCTGCCCCTTTCCCTGGCAGGTGAGGGAAGCACCACTAGGCTGGCCCTGAGAGGGAAGAACCGAGGATGCCGCTTAAGCTTGTTTAAACACAGGCTAGGTTCAGGGAGGCAAAAAGCCCGTGTCCGGTGCGCCCTGGGCAGAGAATAAAGCTTAGCCTCTCTTAACTGGGCAGGCTGGGAGTTCTCTTGAATCCCGACACCCTTCGCTAAGTGAGGTGGAGGAAGGACGCGCGTCGTGGATAAGAAGGGATGTGTTGACCCGCCGACGGCTTTGAGCTCCTTGGTAGAGGGAGGGAAAGTCTCGAACCGTTCCAGGGGCCTCACGCGAGGCGTCCCAGCGCTTGCAGCCCCGCTTAAGGCTGAAGAGCCCGACGGGAGTTTTTAGCACTGGACAGTTGCTCGCGAAGCGGAGCGGAATGCGCAAGCGCTCCCCGGCTCCGAAGAACGTGAAGCTGCCAGGAGTCTTCTTGAACTGGGCTGAAAAACGGGCGCGGCTGTTGTTTTTCTACTCAGAGCGGGAGACTTTTGAGGGAGCAGTGCAAAAGCTCCGGGTCTCGGGTCAGATCTCGTCTTGGCCAGGTTTCAGAAGGGGACCTGAGACCCGGTCCCCTCTGGTCTATAATATGGGGCCATTGTATTTCAAGTTTTCGAAAGATGGTTGCAACGGGAGAAATATGGGAAGTATCCGAAGAATCCGTAAAGCACTCTATACAGAAGGGATTAGATCTCTTTGAGAACAAGGTCAATACACGAGGATCCATGGCTAGCAAATCTGTGGATTCACTACTAAAGCAATGAACTTGTGGGATCCCTCAGTCTTTAGCAGCAAAATGGCAAGATGAATCATTCTAGACTACAGCAACCCGACTAATATTGAAGTACCAATCATTGACTAGTTGTTTATTCATTCCCCAGGATTTGAAAAAGGAAAAACTACTTAGCATTTATCTAACTTTTTCAGGGCTGGACAATTGGCTTATATGGTTGGTTTGAGCTTTGAGCTTGACAATTTGGTTACAAACGTTTCATCCCCATTCGAGGAGACATCTTCAGTGTGCTTGTCTTTAAAAACCTTTCTGAGTCCTGATCAGCTGTACATTGGTCTTTAAATACTGCCTTCGGGATTGTGATTTATGTTCTTTCATTCTAAGTGGTGGGTAGATTGGGTTGATATGTCTGTTTATTGATTGATTGGTGGAAAAGCAATGAACAGCCACAATGCAAACAAAGTTATAACTCGACAGGCTACAAGAAAACAGACCACATCACATGTAGCCAATCAAATCTACCTGAAACCAGAGCATACATCATCAGAAGACAGCCAAACAACAATCCCAGCACTCATTTACATCACACAGACGGTACTTAAAACCAAAGACTATGACTCGGCAACTACAGCCAGCCAATCACACAACCAGAAATCAGATCAGGACTCAAAAAGGTATTTAAAGGCCAGTGCTCCCCCAGACAAGCACAATCCAAAGCGCACTGAAGATGTCTCCTCGAACAGGGATGAAACCTTTGCAACCAAATCACCAAGCTCAACCAATAACATTGGTTGCTCAAACCAATAACATAACTATCAACCTGAACTACTAATATTCCAAGACATTTCAATTGACTTATATTTCCCTACCTGTGGAATGGGTTTTAGTTACTTCAAAAGTCAAGAAAGAAAAGAAAAAGACAGGTTTTTAAATGATTAACAAATTATGTTAGTATAGTACCTGCTTTTCCCAAAAATAAGATCTCCTCTGATAATAAGCTCAACCGGGCTTTTGAGCGCATGCGCTAAAATAAGCACTCCCGTGAAAATAAGCCCTCCCCAAAAATATTGCAACACAGCAGCAGTCATGAGGTGACCACTCTCGCCACCTCCTGCACCTCAAAAATAA